TACCTTATTTGGGGGGGAGCTGAGGGGAGCGGTGGGAGGTGGGGGGAGCGGGGGGGAGCAAAACCTTTTTCTAACTCTTATGACTATATAATATAGGAAGATATTTATAATATCGTATAACTTAACACCATGAACAAAGCAATGCTTGAGAGAGAAGAAAGTGATATGTAGGCGTGCGTAAATTAGAAAATTAGATTCACAATGTTTAGAGAGATAAAATAGTTATGCCTGATTTTTGATGGTCTGTGGGAGTATTCTAGTCGCTAAAAACAAAAGGACTACGAAGAAATCGTTAGAATGTTATAATAAGGGACAATTAAAAATTTTATTTTTTTTAAATAAAAATATCGAAGCCATTTACAGAACTTTTCCTTTCAGTGTGGAGGCTACATAGGAACTGTGAGAGTAGTAGGGAAACGTGTGCACTTTACTTTTGTAATGAAACCATTAACGCTTATTTCAGTGTCGTTCATTTCAAAAACAGCTTATTGCAATGATAGCTCTGACAAAAACTGTTAATTATTTTAACAGCTTGTCACAGAAAAATAAAAACTACTCTTGCTACAAAAATAAAGTGTGCTATTGATGTTCCAGACCCTCGTATGAATTAAGAAATGTTTGAATACTATAAATTCACTCGTAATCAACACATACACAAAAGTTTTGCAACAAAAACATATTCAATTTTAATGAGTTTTAATTTATAATGATTCATAAAGACTTAATATTGACTTAAGTGCATTCTGATAAAAATTACCATACGAAGTTTTCAAATACGTCAGTAAGTTACATTAATTTTTTAGGTCAGACAACTTTACCTTCCAAATTTTCCGCACAGCCTGCATGCGATTATATGCATAATAAAAAAACTTCCTAATTTTAGAGTTGTTGTTTACAACAATATATTTTTACTTTTTATGATGAAATTAAGGAGTTTATTAAAAACAAAAAATCGAAAAACACTTTTTTTTAAATTTTTGTTGTTAGCTATAATATTTTTCCNAAAGAAAACAAGGCAGCAAGCCCGTATTAAGCAGTACCAAGTTTTATGAATGCATTCAAGGTAACTCCATTATCATTTTTATAAATCTCGTATTAACAATTACATGTGTTCTAATGAATTATTTCATTTCTTAGATGCTCTGACATCGATAACAATTAAAGATGTTGTTTACAATGCTGATAATGTCAGAGAAAATTTCAGTTCATTGATGAACAATGCTCGTGACTGGGGTGGTAATCGGATAAGGAGGATGAAGAAAACTTTAAGTAAGTCAGAGCAGCCAAAGGAAAGACCCGATGATATTTAATAACATAGAGTTTTTATTTTTTTTTACTATGACAAAATAGTTTTTATAAACTTAACTAAATAGTGTTAATAAATGATTTCACACATGATCTACTAGTCATTTTTTTAGTATTTATCGTTTCCTCTGTTTAAAAACAATTTTTTTTGTTACATAACCTTACTATTTAATTGTTGAAGAGTCAGTTCAGGACTAGATTATATTTGTCCAGGTTGCCTGAGCTAAGGCTGCCTGTGCAGGAGCCTGAGCAGGTTCTGTGCACATCGTTGGATAAAATTCCATCATTGCCTGAGCAAATCCTACGCAGGCAGCTCAGGCACCTGTCCAGGACCTGTTCAGTGCCTGAACTCAATTTCTGTTCGGGAAGCTTTATTTCATATTTTCATATTAAAAAGACAGTTTATTTATGAATATGTATGTTTATCAGTGAATATTATGGATTAGGAAAAAGCAAATTATGTTTTTATTTTTTTTCTTCATTAACATATAAACAACGAGAATGAGAAAGAAAAGTAATTGACAGTAAAGAATATCTATACTACCTACCTACACAAAGGTACGTACAGTAGTTTAACGAACTTTCTTGTTTATTACTTTCTCTGGCCCTCTGTCTCTTTACAGATTTGGATACCTGTTTACTGTGCGAAGTTGTGCATGTGCGCGAATTTTGTTGGGTTGACTCTTTACTAAAGACGGATTAAGATGGAGTTGGAATATAACACCGAGATAAACGCAGTTGGAAAACCCCGGGAAAACTGTGCATTATGGTTAAATAATAATATTTTGAAATAATCCTATTTACTTAAAAGAAACTTTTTTTAAATGATGAAAAAATGTTGCTAAATCTAATATTAAGTAATCATATTCTACAGCACAAAATCTTTTAAAAAGTAATGAAAAAGGCCTACCTGTATAAGTACAATTGAGAGAGAGAGCGAGCGCATGAGCAGACGATCAATGGCTTTCTATCTCACTTACTTTTACAGGTACTGCTAAAATGCCTTTTTCATTTTTTTCTCAATATTTTACGCTTATGGAAACAAAATTGGAAGTGCCTATTAATAAAAAATGTTTTGCCCTACACTGGTATTCTAATTTTTCTATATAGCAAACTATTAAAAGATATAAGCAAAACAAACTCTAAGACACAATTTCACACAATTTTAACATTAATAGACCACTCAAAAATAATCATAATAATTTCTTTTGAAATCGGTGTGCTCAATTATTTATAAAATGAGGAATGCCCAATTAATAATAGATTTTCTAATTCAGAAGTTTTTTGGTGACTATTCATAAATAATAAGAACAAAGATTAGATTAGCGTGTTGCATAGCAATCTAAAGGATGTGGTCCGATTCTCGGAGTCAGTAAAATTTGAAAATTTTATTTACACATATATAATATATAATATATATGCGTACGTATATATATCCTATGTATACAATAGATATATGGTGTTTTATTATTATATAGCTATATGTACTTTTATGTAGCTATATGTACGGGTAGTACACTTAACAAACGAGAGAGGGGCAGCACGGCGGCAGTAAGCACGCAGAGAAAGATACGGAGGTTGCGTTGTTCAAATAAACTGTATTCGTATCCCAACCCTATCCCAATCGTATTCTTGGCTGTAACACCATCTCTGCAAGTATCAGATATTTAATATCATCTTATCTATTATACATCGGCACGTATACAATGTATGTATCTTAATCAAAGTTACAAAGAGGAAAACGCTTAACCTGCACAGTATTTTGATTATTACTTTTTTACATTAAAATAGCTCTTCAGTTCTTTGATTTTTTACATAATTCGTCACGTGAGAAAAAGCAACGTATTCCTTACGTTGCACCATTAAATAATCTCTTTAAAAGTGCTCAATTTTATAAGAGAGGTGTGTAAAATTTGGACATAACGTGTGAGTAATTTGTATTTTAGTAAAAAATAACGTAAACAAAACCAAAAACCAATCAGTTTGTATTTTATCTACAATTTTGATTTAGGTACATACACATATTGTATAATCGTATACGTGCCGATACATAAAATCATACTAAATATCTGACACTTGCAGAAATGACGTAATAGTAGAGAATACGACTATGATACGAATACGGGGTTTATTCGAACGTAACCAGAGAGCCAAGCCGAACCAAGCTGAGCCGAGTTTAACCGAAAATCGTGCCATCGCACGAGTCACTTCACTGCGTCGGTCGAACCCCCAAGCGTGCCAATGAGAAATTATGGTGTAAAGCTCAATTAAATCCAACAGGCACTAGGGCCCGCCAGTCCTGATTTACGCATGCATTGTATATCCGTATGAGTGTATGTACCACGTATATACTATTCATTAGTTACCGATCGGTAACATAATTATCGTATTCATCGACAGTGTTGACACACCCGTTCTCATAGTTCTGTCCATGGATTTGCAATTCATCCATAAATCAGGACTAGGGGGTTCTGGTGCCCTCTGGATTGAGCTTTACACCATACATTCCTCATAGATGTTTCACGTTAAAAATTTTAGCTAACGGAAAGTCTCCAACGGGTAAGCATCACGCATTTCCACACAAATTTGTAGGAAAACACCTAAATTTGTAGGAAAACGGATATGCGTATTAAAAAACGGCTTGTACCAATTGAAAGAGCAAGACAAAATGCATAAAGTAGCTCTAGTAGTTTTATTTTGACCGGCGTAAAATTTTGAGAGAAACAGCTAAGGAGATGATACTGCACGATTACCATATAATATATATATATATATATATTATGC